TGGACTGGGACGTTCACGCCGGACAAGGAACACAAGATTGTATCAGGGATGATGAAAGAATCCGGCTTATCTCAATACATCGCTTTGAACATGGACATTTCTGGCCGAATCTTCCACAAAGCGCCGTGCAGCATAGATGTGAGCATGCAAACTTCCATATACGTACTGTTGTTTTCCTTGATCTCAGCCAGAGTAAATGGCCTGAATCAGAGGAATACTGTTAAGAATTTTTTAAATATCCTTCTGTAGCTATGACTATGATTTTATAGCGATTTATTCCTCTTAAGTTTTGCCTTCCGCCTTCGCCAGAGCCTGGAAAGCCAAAGATCAATACGTTTACTCCTATGATCTGGCTGGGGACGGGCGGTTGCTGCCAACGTCATTATTGGAAGGGCGAAGTGGCGGGTGGCTCAACACCCTCTCCCAGCTCTTCCACCAAAGACCTGGCAGCAACCAACCATCGTGCTCACTGCCTGAAAAGGGAATTATGATTCAAAATAGAAGTAGACTCAAGCTGATCTTCGTCTCTGTGTAAAAAGAGGCGCTGCAATGCACTAGCACGATCTTTAAAAGGAATCCAACTCGAGCCAACCACACCTTCCATCAGTGGGAGCGAGTCAGGGGAGGGGGCTATATTTGGCGCTGCGTAGCGTATGCTCGTTTTCCACCAATCATTGTCGCTTGCGCGCTTCAGCAGTTGGTGGAGGTTCGGTGCTGCACCAAATTAAGCTCCCTATCCCTGGTGTTGCAGTGAAAACGACTTTGGATCAAAGGGCAGCAGGAACACTGTCTTATGCATAGACTCGCCACGGTAAACCATTGTACAGGGCAGTAGACCCGTTTTGTTGCCTTAGCTATTCTAATGAGCCATAGGTGTGATTCTCCAGGCACACGGCACAACATCGGAGGGTCCGCATTAGGTTTATTCAATTTGCTGCCTGGTGGAAAGGGTTTAAAGTTAAGCCAAAGGACGTGGGAAATTGGCAAAGAATGAGGGCTGAATCCCTCCCCTCCATCTTGGCGAAATTGTGGTGGGAAATTGAAGATGATGAGGTAAGGAGACAGATGAGATTGAACCTTTTGGCTTTAAGGGCCATATTTAGGCGGCTAAGAAGGGGGCGTGTGGAGCGATCATCTCTTTTCATTGTCATTACCTGCCCTAATGGTCCAAATAACTAGCCAACGATGGACCTGTTACTTATCCCAATTTTTTGTATTTATAGTCAACGGCACCATTAATGTTCCTCTCGATGAAGTGGGGATGAGTGACTCGGACTATTTGGCGATCTTCCAACTCGTTGTTCATCCCATTATCAACGACTTCAAACCGGATATCATACTCGTTCGTGCGGCTTCGATCTGCTTCTGGGTTTGTCCATTATCACCTAAATTTGCCTAGCTTTTACTAGGCACAATCTCATTTAGGGGACCCAGAAGGTGAGATGCGATTGACGCCTGCGGGTTACGCTACCCTTACACGTCAGTTGATGTCATGGGGCATACCGTTGGCCATGATTCTGGAGGGTGGCTACTTCTTGGACTCGATTGCTGCCGATTTTGAATGGGTCATGAGAGCACTGCATGGCGATGAGATTCCAACTGTGAAAATCGAGGTGAGAGACGATTTGCTTCTCCCGAAAAGTTCGAAGTATTCCGTCGTTTACAGCCGTTGCATCCAGAGCTCGTCCCGGTGATCGACCGCGTTTTTCAAAAGCACGGCATGGCCTACCCAACTTTGGCCTTACTCGACAAAATCAGGGAGCTCCTAAAACCTCATTCTATTAAAGATTTGGTTAGTTCGGTTGATTATCGGTTTGTCACTCTACCATAGATACCTCTGTTGCAGGATTCCGTGAAAGAATATCAAGGAACTCGAGACTTCCCTCAACCATTCCCAACACGCGGTCTTTATTCCAAAAGAAACAGTGCAACTGAAGCGGGGTTTAGCGAAGAGTTACGAAAAATAATCGAAGGATACAAGGAACGGAATTCCTATAAGGTTAGCCATTTAATGACGAGTAATCACGGTTACCAATGAAGCGGGAGCACATTCTTCTGCCCAGGCTACCTGAGTTGTTAAAAAAGCCAGTGATCTGCAAAAGTGGCGATATTTTCTTTTCTTGTAACCCTACCATTTTCTCCATAGCGAGAAAGACTTGAAGACTCCTCTCGTATTCGAAATACTCTATTTCCTGGTATATAGGCGCAACACGCAAAAGCGAGTAAGAAACATTTGCAGCGCTCGAAGCGAAAGTGCGTCATATGCACTCCTTATCCTTGAGAAGGAGCAGGTGTGCCATTTAGACATGGCACAGGATGGTTCACACGTAGGATATTTAAACTTCTAGCTCTGGGTTGCACAAAGACATCATAGTTGTCTCAAAATGAAAATATTTTACCAAAAGCACAGTCATGTCACATTTAGTTAGTAGCCAGTACGCAGCCACTCCTACCGCCTCTTAGAGATTCCGAGTGTACGTGTGAGTGCGCCTTATTTCCCAGAAAATAGGGTATTCCGCCTTGAAGCTACATCTATTACACATAACAAAGAGCTCTGTCCAACGGCCAGCTCAGCCTTGAACCTCTCAAATTGAAGAAATGGTGAAAGGTTGAACAGAGGTAGAACAAACCTGTTTTCGGGATGTTTTTTTAAACGCAGTTACCACCTGCCATTACCTCCTGCCTGGCTGTTTGAATACAAATATCAGAGGGGTCGGGAAAATCGGTATCGCCTGTCATGGAGCCTTGTCTTTGCTTGAATTCGTGTCACTGTCGCTATTCCAGGAGACATACTGATCCACATTGCGCGGCAAATTATCTCCCTCTTTTCACTGCTTGCTTTTACTGTGAAGGATGGAGTGCAAGTGGAGTCATCTGCGTGGCATTCGCACCATATACTAAGTGATTTGACGTGCAAGTATGTCGAGCTCACTAGCCAGGATTTATAAAGTAGTCTGCACGCGCTGCCACAATATGAACCTCCCAATCGATACTTTCAGCGGCTTGGAACTACAAGAGGAAATTTGCTGTTAAGATCTTTATATCGTTCAACTCAGTCTTTTACCTTTTAAGACCGTGCGATATGACAACGAGATGGGTGCTGATGGTCCGTTCACATGTGTAGTCGGTGATGAACATGTCATTCTTGCCATTAGCAAGAACGCCGAACCTATCATCCATCTACTGGTTAGTTTAAAAGTATTTGTCATTGGACCACAGTTCCGGGCGCGACTTTAGTTGATAGGAGCCACGCGGCTGCGTGTCGATTTGATCACTTCCCCCTCATACTCAACCTCACTAACGCGGCTTCGCGATGACGCGTGTTGGCGCTCTA